GGACGTGGCAGTCGGCGCTGTTTTGCAGCAACGAGTAGCCGACAGATGGCAGCCCTTAGCGTTTTTCTCCAAACGCCTACAACCTACCGAATCTCGCTACAGCACGTTCGGTAGAGAACTGCTAGCCATATATCTAGCGATACGTCACTTTCGACACGTCTTAGAAGGCCGCTCCTTTGCCGTCTTCATCGACCACACACCTGTGACTTATGTGATCGGCTCGACTAGCGACCGATACTCTGTTAGAGTCACGCCACCTTGACTGTATATCACTCAATTTGCGACCGATGTACGGCATGTCTCAGGTGTGAATAACGCCGTCGCCGTCGCACTTTCCCGCATCCAAGCTATCTGCGCTGACGCCGGCACTGCTGTGTACTTGGCAGCCATGGTCGCAGCGCAGCTCAACGATCCTGACGTTGATCTACCAAGCAGGTCTCCCTCACTGGACATACGACCTGTTTCGCTGACATCAGACGGAACTATACTTTGCGATTTATCTCTGGGCGCGTCACGTCCAGTCGTCCCACGCGAGTTTCGGCAGGCCGTGTACGACACGTTGCACGGCTTGTCTCATCCAGGCGTTCCTGCATCGGTTAAACTCGTAACCGCACCTTTCGTTTGGCGTAATGTCAATCGTGACATCCGTACTTGGGCAGCTGCTTGCCTTTTATGTCAACGCACGATGGTGCACAAGCACACGAGAAGCACATCAGGCACGTCTCCGACGCCGGGCGCATGTTTTCATCACGTGCACGTCGACCTCTTAGGTCTTATAATCTGTATATCTACTGACCTGTATCGATCGATTTACTAGATGGCCTGAGGCCGTCCCTATCCTAAATTGCTCCTCGGCCTCTTACTAGTTTTATGCGCAGATCTGGTCCGTTTCTTCTTTTGGCTCACGGGTTCATTGGCCGTTGACCTTTTATCGCATTGAGCAGTTACCAGCACTTCGTCAGAACCGGCTGGTTCAGTGGTTGCCGAAACGGCCAGCATCTTCTGGATGTTGTGTTCATAAGCGTCATATGATTTTGCGACTGTCAAAGAGGGCATCTTTCCCGATGCCGTGGCAACTGATTCTCTGCGTTTATCAGAGGGCTTCTGGTATTTCCGTATTCTGTTTTTCTTCACTTTGATCGGCTCACGAGATAGCAATACTGCCTGGAGTGTCCGGCAGGATGTGCGACTTCTTGACCGAGTGACAGACCCCAGCGGGTGGATCGTCAGCAATCTTGCCGTCTAATGTAGTGTCCTCAATCCCCATATTCAGGGATTTTAACATCAAATTCATTTTCGCATCGAGCAAGGCAATAAAGGCGAGTTTGGCTATCGCGTTGTCAACACCTTCCAACCTTGAAGCCAGCGCTGAAAGTTTAGCAGCCGTGATAGCCGGGTGCGTCGATCTCTGAGCGCAGCATTCAGCACAGCTGAAAAGGGAGTGAACACTGGATGATAGCATTTTGTACTGGTCAGCTTGTAGGCCGGTACAGCTTTCGTGATACAAGCGGCAGCAGACGTCACACTGCATACCGGCAGATAAATCTGTTACTCACTCTGAATAGTTAGCCTGTCCGCAAGCTACACTAGACTCATCAAACGAGGACTTCAGGGGTCCATCCGCCTCGGTATTTAGTGAGACAGCCATGTTCATGTGGAAAACTACAGAATTATAACACGGATACCATAGTAAAACGACCGCAATAAAAGAGGCAAAAACTGATGTGAACTCTTTCTTTTTAGATGTGCTAAATGCTGCGCTCAGAATGCAAAGATCCCTTCTATCACCTGTGCTGAATTTAAAGCAACGGCATCCAGGTTCGCAGTTGTAGAGAATCCGTTAGCCGAGCTTGCCTCTTTTGCCTCACTCGACACTAAAGTGGATTTGCTTATGAAATCCCTGAGTATTGTGAATGAGGACGCTGTACCGGACTATTCCCCTGCGGACAGGCCATACGTTGATCGGTCCTTCATCTTACCGTACGCTCCAGTTCACATGGTAACTGACTCAGATGCCTCGGAAGGCAACGTTGACCCTCCTCAAATAGAAGATATCACGGGCTCCTGGGAGTGCATCCAAAGACATGCTCGACTTTATTCGCTCCCCATCCGCAAACCGGTGTTTGATACTATAGGGTTTTAATCTACCAGAAGTTTGCTTGGCAGATATTTCTTACAACTCGACGGAAGGTACTTTCACTGCAGATCTTTTTGAGTTTACGCCACAACTTCCGTTGCATCAGTTTGTGTACCTCCGCACTAGGCACATAGGTGCCCATGTAACGTCTATTTTGGACCTGGTTTTGCCAAGTCACTAGACTTCGTAGGTGACATCACTTACAGCTCACCTTTAGGTGCCAGTTATCATGTCTGTTTTATCATACAAATGTACTCTGACCAAATGTCACCAGATCATCGCTAAGCCACATCCAAATCTGACGCGCTAACCATCAGGCAATGCGTATCAAGTCTTCTGGGTTGCGCTACGAAATCTCGGTGGTCGATACGGTTCAGGTGGCCTGGGATAAATTTAAGTCTTATCTCACGGAAGTGTCTACTCCCGCTTGCTAGGAGAAAAGAGACACGAGCGCGGCCGCCGTGGATAGATACCACTGGCAAGTACCTACTCCAGAAGGGTTCTACGTGCTGGAGGATTTACCGTGCGACTCCATCAACTAGCACCTGTGGTAGGTATCGCGAGGCTAGAAAGAGATGTAAACAACACTTGCGGAAAGCTCGGCTGTTGTACGAAAAGGAATTGGCTGATGGAGCTTCGGAAAATCCGAAGAAGTTCTTCGCTTATGTTAAGAGACACTGTGGTTCAAATTCGGTAATTCCAACTTTGATGCGAGCCGATGGAACTCATGCGTATGTGACTCGTGTACTTGGTGAGCAGTGTGCAGGCCGCGTTGAACTTGTCCCCCGAGTACCTGAGGGTTCTTATTTAGCTGAATTTACTGTGGTGGAAACGCAAGTCCTTAGGCTGCTGCAAGAACTGAAGCTTTCTGAACAGCGGGATCTGATTCAATTCACCCGATGTTTCTGCATGAGTTGGTGGCGAAACTAAGTGGACGGCTGACGATGGTGTTTCGGAAGTCACTTGACAGCTGTATATTACCTTCTGAATGGAAGGAGGCTGTCATCAGTCCTATCTTCAAATTGGCAACAAGATTCTTGGTCAAACTGCTTGAAAAGCTGGTGAGAGATTCGTTGGAAGGTCACCTGAATAGATTTAATCTACTCAGTGGTGCACAACACGGATTCCGGAAGGGGTTTTCGTGTCTGCCGAATTTGTTGGTTACTTGTGAAGCTTGGGTCGAAGTAGTGGACAATGGCCACATAGTGAATGTGCTTTTCGTCGACTTCTCGAAAGCATTTGATAAGGTACCTCACTTGAGGCTATCACAAAAGCTGAACTCCTACGGCGTATCTGACTGCGCATTTCACTGGGTGTCTGCATTTTTGCAGGGAAGAGAGCAGTGTGTACGTGTGGGTCGCAGCTTATCCTTTGGGCAAGCGGTCCTTAGCGGTGTCCCACAGGGCTCGGTCCTTGGACCGATGCTGTTGTCCATCTACGTAAACGATCTCCCTGGAGAGCTTGGGGTATCATCCCTATTGTTTGCTGATGACCATACGCTATGAAATGTAAATGTCCCTAGGGTTCTGAGGCCATACAGCATGCCCTGGACAGACTCTGACAGGCTCTTGTGGCTACTGCCCATTAATCAGGCTGTGTTCCGTCCTTCGGATATGAGCAACTTTCCCACATTCGGGCTAGGTGCTCGATGGGGTCGAACTCTCCCTTGTCTTTATCCAGGTAGACGTAGGCGTCGTCCATTCCCCGTGTTTGCATTCTGGTGACAACTGGAAGAAGGCCGCAAGTAGGAGTTTCAGAATGTTGTGATTAGTACGCCGTTCTTTCGAATTCTTAACTGCCGACATATTTGTGAAGCTGTTCTCAGCTTTCGTTCGGCCCCATCTGGAATAATGCATCCAGTTTTTCCCGCCCTATCTTGTTCGGGACAAAATGGAGCTCGAGAGGGTTTTGAGAATAGGTGCCAAATTGATCGAGGAGTTACGGGGGCAAACGTACCCCGAGCATCTACTTAGCTTGGGTATGTATCCACTGCACTACCGACGGCTTCGAAAAGACTTAATCCTTACTTACCGCATTTTAATAGGGAAGGTTGGACCGGACTTGAGTTGGCTATTTAGCCGGCTACATTGCCTTGTCTTCGCGGTCATCCCATGATGCTACACAAGCCGCGTTCGGACCGGATCAGGGCGGAAACTCGGTTATCGCGTCGAGTTATCGAGCGCTTGCACTCGGTTCCAGAAAGTGTACTGAGTGAACCTACGGTTAAGGGTTTCGAGCGTCAGTGAGACGCTCTTGGGTGGCAACACGAAACCTTTCCCTTCTCTTGACCATATCCATCTTCCAAGTTTGAGTTCATATTCTGTCATTCTCTTCACTCTTTGGCATTATCCTTCATTTAACTGACTTTCCTTCCTCTTTATCTTCATTTTCTTTCTACGTCTTCCTTACTTCACGTGACCTACACAGTGGGGACTGCTAGTGCAGGGAACGTGGGCAGTAATTGGTTGACCAGGGTGTGGTTCGGATGTTTCGTTTTAGCTCCATCAAGACCTCCTAGGACCTTATCATTTTCCGGCCCAGTGATCCGCTCAAGAAGGAACACTCAAGGGATTTTCCTATCTTTCCAGTCCAATCTTTATCCGAATCCATTTGGTTGCCTCACGCTCGTTCCTCGTTGGGCATCTGTGACGGTAGCGCCCATCTATCCACAGGATGTAACACAAACACCATCCATACAGGTCCGACAGTTGCTAAGTGGTTTTCCCGCCGCCTACGAATTATCTCCTTTTCCTTTCAGCCCCCCTCTGTCTAATAAAATCCCGAACACGGAAGCCCTCTGAATCCTTGACCGGACGCATATTACACTAGGATACAAATAGCTATTTCTGTTGCACTCCGTGAGATGTGGAGCTCCAATTCTTCTACGGTCGTTGTAAGTTCGAAATGTTTTTACTTGTAGCATTTGTCTGCCTGCTTGGTGTCTGAAAATTATTATTTTTTAGGCTTCATTCTCTTGAGGCTAAATGTCATAGTGGTCACCCTGTTGCCACCAGTGTCCGACGAGTGCACGGTGTGTGTCTGATGGGCGCCCAATGGGCGAGTGAGTGGCAACAATTTGTGTCACTCATCGGGTGCTCACCGAGAAAAGTGTGTGGGCTCCCCTTCGAACGCTGCTTTCCTCAGATTTTGTTTCCTATAAGAATAATTTAGCAGCGTTAACTTCCTTTCCACTACCAACGACTCCACTTTGGAACTCCACGTATCTGAAAATAAACAATAATAGCCACAACAAATATTAACATATAGACAATTCCCTGTCCGCGCGAGTGACCAAAAAGTGTCCGCTGGAGTGACGATTGGAGCTCCCTTAGTGACCAATATTTTTGCCCTTGTCCCCTCATTTGGACACTTATTTGACGACTTTTAACCACTCAGCATGTTTTTTCCCACACAATTTCACCATGTACCGCGAATGCATATTTCCTAGTTGGAAATACAATCAACTTTAAGTCAAAATCGATTCCTAACTTGTAATTACGCTATACTATAGCCGTTAAGTTAAACGGAAAAGGTCATTGGGTGATCGAAATTCGACCCTATTGGGACGACGTTTGGTCACTCAGGATGTTTTTCCCAAGTACCTCACTATGTACCACAAATGCATCTTTCCTGATTGCAAATGCCGTCAACATTAAGCCGAACTCGACTCCCGTTAAGCTAAACCGAAAATGTCCTCGAGTGACCAAAAGTCGTCCAAAAAGTTTCCAATTGGGACGGCCGGGAGCACAACAGTTGGTCACTCAGGGAGCTCCAATGCTCATTCGCGCTGACTGAAATTACAATTTTCTTAAGAAGTAACACCTAGTTAAAGGACGGTCGTGCTAAACCTGTGCAATTTTACTTACCAGCGCAACTGGACAGATCACGCTATTTATTTTCATACTAACTTTTTGCTTCTGCGAGTGGTCAACAACGCCCAACTGGGACAGCTGGCTGTCCGTTTGTGTGGACAGGGTTGTCTGTAATTACTGACCGAAATATTGAGGCAAAGCGTTCCTCCAAGTTTGGTCTGGACCGCCTCCTACGCTGACCCTTGGTGGGGATCAGCTAGAAGTCGTTCAAAAATTCAACTACCTGGGAAGTTGTATCAGCGCCCGTGGGATTGAAGATGAGATCACGAACCGTATAGCAAAAGCTCGGGGCGCTTTGGCTAACCTTCGACACTTATGGCGCCGGCGCGACACCACTCTTGCCCTGAAGGGTAGAGTGTACGATGCAACAGTACGTTCGACCCTACTGTACGGTTGTGAAACCTGGTCGCTTACAGCAGCGGACCTCGAGAGGCTAGTTACGTTCGACCACCGGTGCCTTCGTAATTTAGCTCACATCTAGTGGGAACACCGCGTGAGCAACGAGCGTGTTCGACGCCTTGTTTATGGCACAGGAAATGGAACTGAACCGCTCAGCACCGTTATTTCACGTACCAGGCTCCGATGACTCGGCCACGTGGTACGCATGCCAGCCCACCGACTCTCGCGACGTGCGTTGTTTGCGGGCCGGGGGTGTGGATGGAAGAAGAGGAGGGGTGGCCAAGCGATGACTTAGTCGAGAGGAATGATGGCCCTCACTTTTGAGCTGGCCTCGGTTGGAACGTCTCGGCTCCCTGGTTGGGGTCCGAAAGACGATGAACACGTTTGTTTGGACACACTTGTTGACATGGCTAGGAGCCGACCTCAGTGGCGTTCGTGCTGTGAGTTTCTTTGTCCCACCCCATCCCTCTTAGCCTCCCCCTCCAACCACGATCTCACTAGGTAGGCTTATATAATTATGCACAGTAATTTTTTGTTGCATAGTAGCCGGTTGGTAGCTTATCCGAACGATGTCCATCCGTTACCGGTAGCTCAGCCGGCCTGCACCAGTTGCATTTTTTTTCTCGTTTTTTATGTATTGCGACACAGTAGTTGAGGTGTTCCCCACCTCTAGCTAACGTGTATGATGATGATGATGATTGATGCTTAAACCGTTCCGCCTCCTTCTGTGGGTATAGTCATGTTCCGCTTTTTAATTGTTTTCATATTTTGATGCATTTGCACATAGTGACGTATTTTACGACTACCCGATGCGTGTCCGGCTTTGTGCGCTGGAGTGACCGCTGGTATTAATAGGGCATCCACTGAAGTTTCACATACCCCTTTCGGACCGGGTTGGAACTGATTCTCAGTCATCATATCGGGTTCTAGACTTTTGGAATGCGCTGCCCACTTAAGTAGCGATGGCACCAACGGTGAAAGCCTTCGAGAACAGAAGGGAAAACCCGTGTCACCTCCATCACCTCCCGCTCATGGTCTGAATGACACGTGCCGTTCCTAAACTGTATTCCCCGTGAGATTGTTACAGCTGCAGCAAAAACAGCGGAATCCAGGTGTGCTCAGCATGTATTTGTCCAACCTTTTTTTTTTAAAAACATTCCTCTGTTTGGGCACTTACCACGCAATCAGGGAGGTTGTTACACTCATTCACAACCCGCGTAGATAACGCGAAATCGGACCGGACATGGTGCCTCCGGGGTTTAAAAACTTTCAAACTATGGCTTCGTGTTGAACAATCTGTGTTGAGCTGGAAGAACTGCTGCACCTTCCCCACCTCGCCCCTTAAAATGCGTCTAGTATACATCAGACCACTACGGCAACGACGCTAGTTCAGGGAAAATAAGTTCATACGATGAAGACGAAGGGGATAAGGTAAAACACGTAGCATGAACACAGACTTGGATCTGCGGCTCTGAACCTTCTCGATCAACTCACATTCAACTTTCGTAGGTGGATGTATGGCAGGTAGTCTGTATTCCAGTATTAGACGAACGTGGGAGGAAAACAGAAGTCTGATGGTCCATGGTTTCAATTTATAGAGAGACCTTCGTATGGCATCGAACATCTTGTTGGCCGAGGCCACCTTCCGCAACGTGTCCTGGGTTGTTTTTAGGTCTGGAGAAACACTTATACCCAAATCCTTCTCACGAGCCACATTCTTCAGCAGAAAACTACCAATGTGGTATACATCAAAAGGTTATTGAGCACCGATCAGTAGAACACGGCACTTATCACGATTGATAGGCATTTGCCACTTCACTGACCAATCGAGCGTCAGTTGCCGCTTGTCAGCATCTCTAAGCCTGGATACTTCCGACCACAGTTTAAGATCGTCCGCGTAGATCAAGCAGTCGACTTGAAGCACCTCCAGGAGATTGTTGATGAAGATTTTAAACACTTCGGGACTAAGAACGGAGCCTTGTGGAACCCCACTGGTCATGAGAACAGGATCAGAGACGACTTCCTTGACCTTCACCCTCATACTACGATCATCTAGGAAATCAGCGATCCAGGCGAGAAAATTGCCAGCGATGCCGATCTGCTGAAGCCTGCTAAGAAGTCACTTGTGTGGAACCCTACCAAACGCTTTTCAAAAATCGACCAAAACTACATTGGTCTACAGTTTAAAGTATTCCGCTTTTCATCTTGGCTTTGCTCTGATTTGTTTCTGCTTACTCCTCCATAACTTTCCGTTCACATTCCAAAACTCTCACATTCATTACTTCAGCTTGTCTTCTTTTTATTCTTTTTCCCTTTTTACTTCACTTTCATCATCATCATCATCAGTACACGTTAGCTGAGGGTGAGAAATACCTCAGCTAATGTGCCGCAATACAAAAAGATAGACTAAAAATTACACTACAAAAATTATGTTAAATATATTATGCGTTTTGCCTGAGATCGGGATTATAGGGGGAATCCAAAGTGCGATGGGCGAAGAAGCTCCCAACACTAACGCCATTTGGGCCGGCTCTTCGCCATATCAGCATCTGTGTCCAACCAAACGTGTTCATCATCCTTAGGACCCCAGCCAGGCAGTTAGGATGCACCAACCGACGCCAACTTCGAAGTGAGGGTTTTCATTTCTCTCGACTAAGTCATCACTTGGCCTCCCCTCCTCCTCTTCCAACCGCACGCACAACGCGCAAACAATGCACGTCGCGGGAGTCGGTGTGCTGGCATGCACAACACGTGGCCCAGCCATCGGAGCCTGGTGCGTGATATAATGGTGCTGAGCGGTTCACTCCCTCTTCCTGCACCAAATATATGACGCCGAACACGCTCATTGCTCACGCGGTGCTCCCACCAGACATGAGCTAAGCTGCGAAAGCAGCGATGATCGAATATGACGAGCCCCTTTATGTCTGTCGATCTGATGGGCCAGGTTTCACAGCCATATAGGAGAGTTGAACGGACGGCTGCGTTGTAAACTCTGCCCTTCAGGGCGAGAGTAATGTCGCGCCTGCGCCACAGGTGGCGGAGATTGGCAAAAGCACCTCGAGCTTTTGCTATACGGTTCGTAACCTCATCTTCAATCCCACGGGTGCTAATATAGCTGCCCAGGTACTTGAATTCCTGAACGACTTCTAGCAGATCACCACCAAGCGTTAGCGCAGGGTTGGGTCCCTGCCAATCTTGGAGAAGTACTTTGCATTTCCATGGAGCAAAGCATAGCCCAAAACGATTGGCAGCCAGTGCTATTCGGTCCAGTGCTGTTTGGCATGTTTGGGAGCTGTCACAGATTAGGGCAATATCGTCCGCATACTCCAAGTCAAGAAGTCGCTCACCAGGAAGTAGCTCCACACCTTCTAGATCGTGTCCAGCGAATGCTGTTTCCATGACTTCATCAATAGCGAAGTTAAAGGGGAACGGAGACAGTGGGCAACCTTGTCTCGCACCGCTGGTTGTACTGAAGTGTGTCGACAGTTTGCCATAAACCCTCACTCTGCCCGAACTATGCGCGTACACCGCTTTGATAATGTTTACATATTTATCAGGCACACCTTTCCTCAGCAGACAGTCCCATAGGGCACATCGATCGACTGAGTCGAAGGCACCTTTT